CATATGACCTGGAGGCAGCCCACAGTGACAAAAATGTCATTGTAGGCAGTCGGCCTCAGGCACAACGCGTCAAGACAGTCTGCAAGGTTATGCTGGAATTCGGTTAGGCTAGGCTTCGAACAAATTGTCCGTCCAAATGCTGTCTAACTTCGCAGGTGCAGATGTTTAAAGGATTCTGTCGAACGCTATTCAGTAATGCATGGAAGTGAGAGCCGTCTCAGACTACTAGTGGCAATGCATTACATTTTAAGGGAATAAGGCCAAAGTTGGGGTGAAGTTTAGGGCTGTGATGAGGTTAGGGGTCGGGTTTGCCTTGAAGGCAATACATGGGCATAGAAGCTTCCCTAGGAATGCATTACTGTTTGTGCTATATTCAATGAAAGTTAGCTCGTTCCGTTTTCTAGCCCTGACCTGAACCCCAACCCTATCTTAACCCTTATCCTACGCTAACGCTGAGCAGAATATCTGTGGAATTGAGCGTTAGGCCACTTTATTAGGAAGGAGGAGATAACTATTCCCGCGTCCCGCCCGTAGATTCATATAAGCGACTCCAACTGAAATTTCGTTACTAAGAGTCTGCTCTGTGTAAGTGTTCAGCTTCTGTGCGTAAACAGCTTAAAATTGGTGGGTGGACGCTAACCAATTGGCTAAGGGCCCAAGAACCATGATTCAAGTAGTTCGCTACTCGCGTGATTATCACCTCTTGCGAGGATTTCGGTGTCGTTAAGTTTGATAAAAAAATGGCCGGGTTCCGTTGAAGGAGCTAAAATCTGAGGAATAACATCCTTCCTCCTCACCGGCCATTCGGATACAGAGAAATCGTCCATTGTGTTCGATGCAACTGCTTCTTCTATAACTGTATCAGATCCGGTAAATGACTCCAGACGTTTACTGCTATGGCATTGGGTGTTTCGGCCGCATGACCCGGCGCCGGATGGTCGCTTCTTTTTCCAGCGGTCGCATCTTCTCCTGAACTGCTTCTTAGAATTCGACTTTTTCTTCTGTTGGCATTCAAGTCTCCCTTGCCTTGACGGTAATCGTTCTTCTGCGTAAAATAATTTATTTTACAACCCAGCGGGTAACCGCCTTACGAGTTTGAAGGCTAGCGTTAAGCTTACAGTTTGTGTTAGTATTTCATTTAGGTCGTAAGATGCTATTCTCGCCCTGTAATTGAGTGCAGGGCTATTAGCTGTATAAATATGAGACCCAGATTCACGCCCCCTGCTGGGATCGAGGGGATATGAGTAGACGTTCTGTAAATTCGAAGCTAGAGCTAGATATTGTAGTACGCCTGAAGGTATTCTATAAACGACAAACTTTACGACATAAAGGCATGGCAAGAGATGTGCTACTATTTAAAAATTCTTTATTTAAACCCATAAGCTAATCGCTTTCCTCATACAGATTGGGAGCGCACACTGGATGCCAACTTCTTAAAAAGCACACACACAGGTCTTACTATAATATACTACTATTGGCCTCAGTAAGCATGATTACTACATTACGCACTGTAGCTAGCCAGAAACTCGCTTTGGCAAGTACGATTGCCATAACTATAACTGGCACTTCTAGCATAGGCACAGCACTTCTAACAGTAGTATTCTAGGCCTAGCAATGTAAACTTTAGGAGACAACCAGGACAAGCGCTGATGTGCTTGGAGCTTCAAACACCTACTCTACTGGGAATAGCAATAATCACGGTCTACACTCTTATGTAAGATCAGGGGAACGCGGCCCCAAAACCTGATTCTAATCAGTGTCCCTCTAGACCAAATATTAGCGTCAGTAAAAATGCCGGCACTACAATCACTCAGATACACCGCTAGAAGCAGCAGCATATACAGTAGCTGCAGTAGTAGAACGACGAGACTAGGGATCCTCGAATATTCCAGGACACCTGCTATGGAGGGTAAAATGTGCAGTAATTCCAGCGCAAAAGGCTACTATCACTTAAAACTAGGTTAAGTTAGGCGATGTTTCTGGCTGCATCTGTAGAAAGCGGCTTACCCTCGATTCATGCTCGATCGTCTCAACTCTGTCTTTTCACCGGTTCAAGTGTGGAGTTGGGTTAAGAGCGGGGTAGACGGCAGTGCGTCTACTTTCACTATACCTGACCGCAGTCACCGTCCCTGCTCTCGGGCAAATGGTGGACATCACCGGTTGCGGTGGTCGAACTTACACACCAGCTGTATCACTGGAAAGAGACTTCCTATTCCCGTACCCCTCCTTCAATTCGAAATCAAAATGTCGCGAATCAAGTCCTCGGATCGGGTTAGTTCAGTAGAAGAACAGTAAACTAAAGGATGTGCGGTAAGAAGGGTATTCGAGTTACAGCAGTCGCAAAGTGCACACTCGCCAGCCTTTGTTAATAGCATTGGTTTCGGGATGCGTGCAAAGTCATTCGCGCCGACATAAGGTGAGTGGCATTGTGCGCAACAAACACACACACGTCCTAAGGACTTTGTACGTATTTGATGACCCCAGCCTTGATCGATTCGGCCGCCATGGCGACCTTAATGAATTTTCTCACACTCAGGCAAACGAGAACACACATTTTTTCTCGTCTTGTATCGTCGCAAACAGCGAAAGATACGTGCCTCCCGGAGGGGTGGGGGTGAAACTGACGCATGGTAACTCTACAGCCGTAGTCTTTAGCTCATAAAACAATCAGACACAGCGGATGCTTGTGTGTGAACTTTTTGCCAGATCATCTACAGAAACCTCA